TAATCGTTAAACTCATTTTTTAATGCAATTTTCCATTAACGGAATTGAATTGTCTTATGAAGAGTTTATGTAGTTGTACTTTGTGTTGTATAGCCATGAGGGCTGTGACACGTGTTAAGAAAAATATATATTATATATATATATACATATATATATATATATATATATAATATAGTTCGTACATTTATAACGTTATCGCGATTACGTGCGGCAATATTAGGGCAGAAAAAGAAAAAAAAATTATTAATACGTATCGCGAAATCGATACAGGGTGATAATTCTGTAGTGCTCCATTTTAGGAAAACGCGATTTCCTTTCTCTCTCTAATAATATAAACTTCAATTAATCTAGTTAAGTTGTAGAGGATCTTCATTATACCTGCGCTGAGGCTCGACTATGATCGACAGCGAGGATTATCTGATTTTTCGATCGATATCTGATAAAACGAGAACGACGAATATTCGTTTTGACAGACATGCATAGTATAAATAAAAAAAAATATATATAAAAAACGATGCTCTAGGTATCTGCTGAATTCGCAGCTTCTCGTAAAAGGATACAGTATGAAATTCATAGCGTTTGTCCCTTTTTCCATTTTTTTTCTATTTTTTATGAAAGAAAAGGGAACGATTGTTTCCCGGCTTTAATTAATGCAATGTAATGCGGGTATCATTATTTTGCATTACACGTCGATATGTTTTCCTTTAATTGCTTTCACATATTAGAGAACCCTTTTTCTGTTCCTTTATTTTTTTTTTTTATTAAAAATACCGTGAAGTAATAGCAGTCGTTTTATAGCCCTAGGTGTGCGTGCGTGCGTGCGTCAAGAACAGTATGAAGGAGCACGAGCTTCGTCCGTTGAAGTTGCGCTTCGCTCGATTCGTGCGAGCACACCTAATTAGAGACCGCAAATGATACGATCCACTAAATGTAATGTCGTTAGTTAACGTCAAATGTAGCGAATGGTAGTTTAACTTACGCTTAATAATAGTCGATATATAAATTTCGGCATGTCCCCGTAATAGAATACGTATTTCCAGTTTGACAGGAAATCATTTGCAAAATATTAAACGCGCTATTGCTTAGACACACACACATACGTACATATATATATATATATATATATATATATATATATATATATATATATATATATATATATATATATATATATATATATATATATATATATATAT